CTGCGCTGCGCGCGCGCCACGCCGCCGCCGCGCACTCCGCCGGCATCGACGGCGAGACTGGGGAAATCGTCGACATGGCCACCAAGGGGATATGGGAACCCCTCGCGGTCAAGATGCAGGTAAACTCTATTTCCTTACACAAAATTTAGAACAACTAGTGAGCGTAGAATTAAAAAAAATGTCTGTTTCTCCACACTATGCTTTATGCCAGATTTCATCGAGATCCGTTCAACCATTTAGTATACAAACTAACATTCATTCATATAAACTTTCGCATTTATAATATTAATAAGATAACTAAATATACAATTTTTTCTGTATTGTACAGACTCCATTAGGGTTTACCAGGCTTCTCCAGTTGTAATGCTTGCCGGAGACTTCGTTTTAGTCCCTTTCTTTCTTAAAAGAAAAGGATGGGAAGGGACTTTGACGATGGAGAAGACGCTTAGGAAAAATATCCTCTTTATGCGCGTTTCCTTCGCCTATTAAGTCTGTAATTGCGAAAGCTGGTAGCGGTCTCTTCGCTTTTTTAGCGAATTTAGGTGGCCACTAGCTATTTAGTATGTGAAATTTGTGTATAGTTATCGATACTTATATTATAAAGAGAAAGATTTGTATTTTTGGATTTTAGTATGTATTAAAATTACTCAAAAATTCTTGCACTACTAAAAAGCTATGTTATCGCTCATTAACATTATTACTGTTTTTAATTTCTCATGTTTTTACTACTTGTATCTTCTAATTTCACGCAGGCGAAGTCGCGAGCAAAACCTACATACATTCATAATTACTATTCCAGATATACAAGACGGCGATAGAAACTGCAATCCTTATTCTGAGAATCGACGATATCGTGTCAGGTTCTAAGAAGAAGTCTGACAAGGAGCCCGCCGCGCCCGCCGCCATGGCGCAGGAGTGAGCATGCCGTCTCCCTCGCACACCATAGCAACGACAGAGACAGATGTAGGCTGGTCAAAGACAAGAAATATATAGACTGGAAATAAAAACATTTTTCACCGGTAACTTCCTTGAAAGGTACTATGTTGTCAATTTTAGTACGGTCACCTCGTGTCCTTACTTTAGATCGATTTGATCTTTTGTTATAATATAAACGAAACACTGTCACAAAATAAAATATAAACATTTAAATATGATTTAGTGACATCTATTGGCAATTTCAATACAATTATGTTAACATGTTGTGAAAAATGTTTCAAGTGAAGTGTCTACTATGCTTCCTCTATGTATTTTTTGAATCTCTGGCTACAGTAACTGTCGTATGGATGAAATTGTTACAAATGCTAACATTTAAATACTTTTATAGAAAACCTGATGCATTTAATACACGATTTCTTGAGGATATTACAATAGCATAAAATATACAAGACTAAGAGCCTGTCCCACTAAATTTAAATTGTCTGGTAACAATCCAACGTGTAAAATATGTGATGGAAATATCGGATTTCTTACCTTATCTGATAGTGACGTCATCTTTAAGCTATCTGAGCCTTTATCAGCCAGTGGTAGGACAGACCTTAAACTAGAATTTTTAGCTGCAAACATTTGAATACAGTATTTAGTTGATGTAAAAATTTAACCCAAAAATGATAAATATGACTTAAAGGACATAATGTTCCATTTAGTAATAAAATCACAATTTAATTTTATATTACTGGCGATAAGATATCATAAGTATTTGTCCAATTTTATCCATTTAACTTTAGGATATTAATTGTTTACGAATTATGCATGGGATATGTATGGATCAAACATTATTTTATTAAATTCGCCTAAGATGTAATTTTTATCTACCAAAACTGTTTTATTTACAATATGTATACCAGTGTATTTAATTAATTTTTAATTCTGGCAACACATAATGTTTGGTGTTGCCATTTTTTTGTTTTTATTTTGCGTGATTGAGTACATCATTTATGGTAAAATCGTAAACAATTAAATGACAGCATTTTAATACTAGCTTCTATCTATAAGTGCTAACAAAGATGCCTTAAATCGTAAAAGTTTTAGTTAACTCTATGGTAGTTTATTATTTATGGTCTCTTGTGATGTCTTTTTTTTTCGCGTTCGTTTGAATTATTATTATCAAATGTAATTGCAAGCTGAACAATAATAGTATTAAAAGTTTATACTAATTCAATTTATTGTTTTATTTTTCCTGTCGTATAAACTAGCTGTTTCCGTGCGGCTTCATCTGCATGAGATTATAAAACCTTTATTTTTGACCGACTTCCCAAAAGAAGGAGGTACTCAATTCGTCTGTGTGTTTTTTTTATTGTTTACATTTGTCTCAATTGTAAATGTCAAAATTTTAATGCACAAATGACAACAAAGGCTTTTGACATAGCCTTACAAATAAACGTGGTATAAAATAAAACATGGAAATAAACTGAGAAGCAAAGCTTTATCGCTGTTTGGTAACTAGTGAAAGGGGGATATTTTTTCCAGTCTTCTTTCTCTAGCACAAAAACTTAATGTTAACGAGAGTGGAAAGAAATGTTCCTCTTTTATAGTTATCAAACATCGATTTTTTTTTCCTGACTGGTGAGGTAACTTTGTGTCAAGCAGTGGACTGTATATTGGCTTGTAAAGAAATAATAGGCTGGTCGATTGGTTGATTGGACGGACGACGGCTGAACCCTTATCCCCGCCAATGTTGCAGTGAGACGCAACACTTTGGTTAGGAAAAAGAAATGAGGGGGCAAGTCGACCCTTTCGTAGAAAAGATGTTATTACAGGCAATATCATCTAAATACTTAAAACTATTTACTAGTTATTCCTTTAAAGAAACAAATATATGAGCAATTGTTTTTTATCTGGTAATTTAGTGAGGGTTAATTAAATTAACATTCATAATTAACATAACAATATTGCATCTGAAAGCGACGCGGATGTGACTCCATATTTGAATGATTTTTGTATCAAAACCGTTAGGTGCTCGTTTCCATTGTGTATTTAAAAATTAACTAAATATATTATAATATTTTTTACAACATTGCAATATTGATGTCTAATTATATTAAAATTCTACATATCTTTTATTTTATAGTAAACCGAATTAACGACTGAGGGGCAATTTTTTTGCAAAAAAAAGTAATAAAACGAAACTGTAACCATCGTAGTTTTATATTGTTTATGTGTATAAGATAGAACGTAATTACTTGAGTTTATAAGTCTTCGCCTAATCAGTACTAAAAATTACAATATAACGAGTGAATGGATACTGCCCAGTGAACTTTCACAGTGTATAATGTAAACGTATTTGAGTATATCCGGTCAGACAAAACGCTCACGACCCGTGACCATCAATACTAGGGTCGACAGAGTCTGTCATTGCGCTGTGGACACCCGGCCTAGCTGGACGAATACTTCGGGATTATGCAACGGTAAGTGACCTTATTGATACATTTTTGTACGGTTGGAGTATAAAATTTCATGTTATAAGGAGGGATAAATCGCATGTAACAAGGAGAACGGTAGTTATAAGTGTGGAAAGATACACCGGTAGAGGTAGACCTAGAAAGAGATGGATGGATTGCGTGAAAGGTGACATGATCAAGAAGGGAGTGATGACTTGGATGACGTATGAGTTATGTGGAGGACAAAAATCTGTTGCGCCAAAAACGGGAATAGCAAAAGGAGGAAGATGATGATGGAGTATAAGATTTCATAATTTGAGTTTACTGTAAAAATTTGGTAGTCCATATTCTAAAACGCTTTTGATTTATGCTATTTTAATTGAATTTAGTAGGGTTTTTTGTTAATTTACTTATGTTTCTTATACCATTCCAAATGTCCTTTCCAATTCTACTACGCGTGAGATGATATGGTTTGCGCTATTAATGGCCGCAGGATTGGAGTCCTCGATCTGATAGCATTCTTTGACTTTTAAACTCTTGGCACGCCGGGCCTGATTTTGATTTTTAGAATGTATTTTTTATATAGTGATTGATTTTTGTATAGTGTTTTATTGACTATTGTTTTATTGTATTTTTATAGCAAGATCTCCTTGGTAATTTTAATAGCACATCTGCTATTGTTAACTTTCAGAGATAGTTTAGTAGAAGGCCTGCGTCTTATTTGGTCAGGTGTTGAAATTAAAGTCTTTTAGATATTTACTTATCGAATTTTAGTTACTCTAGTCGATTAATAGCATGTACAGGAGTACAAATGAAATTCCAAACTATTGATAAAACTAGGTCGATGTCCGTTTTCGATATAATTCAATGGAACAATACAGAACGTTGACAACAATCGATTTATAGCGGTTCTCTTGATGGTAGTCATTCGGAGCGTAACGAAAATGGGCTCTATTTGTAATATAGTCCCGTAATAGTCTGGGAATTTTAACACATTCAATGCTAATACGATTTTTACGTAATAATAAACTCGCAGGACAAGAGACTGTGGCATTGAATGTGTTAACATTGCTTCTTACGTTGAAAATTGCAATTGTAATTTAAATAGTAAATTAGGTTCTTTGTGTATTGCGTTACGTTCAAATGTGTAGGTACTGAGTTTACTAAATTATTTTTGTGAGGCAAACTTCCGTAATTATTTTGGACAATACCGGAGCTGCAAGGTCATCGGCCGCCCATCAGATTTAATAATCTCGAATAACATTCATGGTTTGTTGGACATTTCCTCGCTTCCGTTTTGATTTCATCACATTTCCGCCATTTTTCCATTGACGTAACAGTTTAAGATATTTGCGGATCAAAAAATGTAGGCGTCTTAATATCTTTCATTTTAAATTAACCCAGCTTAATAACTCCGATTTCTGTTTTACAGTTGTTATAAGAGACCGAAAATATGAAGAAATACCTAAAAATGGTTGTCTTTTGGATGGCAGTAGTGCTGCAAGTGGCGAGTTCCTTCGATATTCAACCACCATCTCAAGACCACGTACGTATATTTACTTCCTAATGGAGTGTTCTATAGTAGAAATATTTTCAACAAATGTCATTAACTGAATTTGACCAGCACACAGTATTTATAAACTAATTTGAAATGTAATCGTGATAATATGCATTCATTTTACAATATCAATTTATCGTTTTCAGGACGAATTAGCAGATTCAATTAGAGGTCGGCGAGGGGTTATTGAAGAAGAAAAGTTTTTTAGTGTCAATTCTGATATGAGAAACGTCAACATAAATCAACATACACCATGGCTTCCTAGCGCTTTGCATTCCGAGGAAGACCCTACTACTAAAATATCTATTACTAACGAAGTTAAAGATTCTTTATCACATCAAACAACTGAAAGAGTTACAGATAAACCTATTGGACGTGGCGCGAGAGCTTCCAATGAAAACTGGGTTAAATTACCCTTCCCTGACGAAGAGAAATCCAGAGATAGCATCCTAACTCCGCCAAAACCAACAGGCGATCTTATAAACTCACGTATGCCACGAGTTAACTTTGTCACCCAAAATAAAGCTTTAGAAACATCTGAATCCCGAAACAATAGAGAATCGGTGCAAAGATCAACTCAAACAGATAATATAAGAACCGAATTCGTTCGACCAGATGAAGATGATTTGATGAAAAAACCTATATATCCTAGACAAGCAGTCTACTACCCCGAGGATCCTAGAAGAATGTACGAAGATCGATATTACAACGATGATTTGTATAGACGTGACCCTTACTACGATTTATACGATAGAAAAAGATATTATCCCGGCCCTAGAGTTGACAGATACGATGAACCTTATGATAATTATGTCCCACGAAAACCTAAGAGAATAATTTACTACGCCCATCTACCAGAAGTAGTGAGGACACCGCCGAGTGTCGATTTGAGATATCGATATTCTAACGATCCTTATCGACGTTTTGATGACGATTATTACGCGAGAACTGGCAGGTATGATTATAGATTTAGGAATAGATACCCGTATGCTGCTTTAAGAAAAGACGAGAGGAATTACAGAGATTTAGTTATCGCTGGGACTGATGCCAGAGATAAAAAGATAGATGAAAAAGTAACTCCAACACCAATATTGCCTAAGAAGGAAGAAAAAAAAGACAAACAAGTTAACGTCAATCGAAATGCGAATAGAAATACTATAAACAGCCATCAGTATCACGAAAGTGCAAATAATTTTAACGATCAGATGAATCGTAAAGCTTTTGTAGACGCTAAAAGGCCTGATGACGGATATTTCAGATTTGATGAGCCTTTCTTCCATTCAGCTATCGATGATTCTTATCAAAGAAAATATTAATTCAATTACCATATAATTAAATGTGTTCTTTTGAAGTTTTCAAATATGTATAGTACTTTGAAAACTTCGAAATTAAATTAGATAGGAGATGGGTTTTTTAATTGGTATTTAATATTTAAATAATACAAGTGTTAAACTATTCATGTAATCTGAGAGTAATAAATTGGACTACGACTGGGAAGTGTCGTTTTAATTGTTTAAGGGGCGTTTCCGCTACGACAAATTGTACAAGTAATAAATCGGCCGTTTAAATTAAAACACGGGAGGGTGAAGATGAATTTCATTAAGAATTAATTAATGTCATTCTTAAAGCGTTTTGTTTTTCCTCGCGAATAAAAAACATCTGTCGGAGATGTTCGAGCGGCGACGCGTTTTCTTGAGGTAATTAAGCAATAAATTTTGTGGCTGGCAACATCTCGAGGTGGGGGCCAATTACGACGCGCATTTAAGAAAATGAATGTTCAACACTTGAATCGCGGGCGTATTCTGAATATTGTAATTATACACATATCGCTTCACAGGTTTGTAATAATATTGAATATGCTTGTTGAGAGTATTGTAAATTTGAGATAAATAATAACCGGATGAAGTTCCTATAAAAATACTATATAACCAACATGTGTATTACAATAAAAAATATAGTTCTGAGAGATTAGATACTAGCAAATAGGTGAATATGACTAAATCTCCTTTTGGAATCAGTATTTTTGCATAAGAAATAATTTAAACATTGTTGTTAACAATATTTTCTTTTTCGCTAATAATTTTCTATATAAAACATCGTAGTCAAATAGAAAAAGCTTTATCAGAATAAGGACGCGAAGACGTGACAGCGACGAAACCAACTTGACTAATTAGTGTAAGGGCTTAGAAAAAATCCCGCGACATGACAGCGTGTAATCAGGGGGATAGATTTCGTGTTTTAGCTTTTTTAATGTGGCAACCCTAGCGGATTAATGGCGGGCCCATAAATAACACGTAATTAAATGTACGCTATGGGGCTGCAAGCGAGAATCTTAAAGTTTTTATGATATTTTTATAAATACTAACACCGTTTGTATCTTATGAAGTCACCTGAGAATCCAAAAGGCATTAAAAACCCGTCTAGAAATTTTAAAATAAATATCAGTAGTCTAGTCTAGACATTGCATTAAATCAAGTAAAAATCAATAAACTTAATAAGCATTGGATACATCTATTGTGCAAATAAACGCGGAGTTTGGACACGGCGATCCTTGATGATTTGAATTATTTATGGAGTCCTCGAATTGGGGTGACCACACATTACTTATTTTAATAATTAGCTTAAAAATATTAAAGATCAAAATATATAGAAGTAAAACTTTTATTCTATTAATTTTAAAAATTGATTTCTCAATTTAAAAGTTTATTTTGCATAAAGAATATAACGTAAAATGAGCATTAGAGAAGCAGCGCTTAGTAACGTAATTTTCGTACTTCAGCAAGGCCATTAATGTTACAAGAATTCCTGGAAACCACACTTTCTGAGCACACGTAGCGGTGTTGAACCTGCGGTCTTAGGTTCCCAGACCGCATTAAATAATGTGCTAATCCTACATAACTTATCCTCACGCTCATTTATTCGTACAGTGCAAGCAGAGTTAAAATAAGGCTAGAAGTCCATTTCACTTGACAGGAATTGGGAAAAATAAGACCAATTACGATTTCTTATATTATTTATTAGAGTTATAAGTAATATAATTTAATAACTAATTCAAAACTTATCCGTAGTACGTGTCTATTTATGGTCACCTTACAAAAAGGGTTGTGACAGATGCTCTGTGGGAGTCCGTTGTACAACATTACATAATTCCGGCAAACAGCAGCAATGTCTTGAGGCGAAATTCATTACCGTCTCCGTCGAAATTGCCGGAATAAGGCATTACACGGCCTTCACTCAAATTTAATCCCGGGGTAAGCGGACCATCCTAATTGGAGACCTTGTTTGCGGTAATAATATAAAGGGTTGTGGTGTATTCTTTTGAATAAATCTTAAGAAACTAAGCTTATTCAACGCAAAGAGATTTTTTCTAAAATCTTATTTACTAGCTGTTGCTCGCGATTACGTCCGCGTAAATTAAAAAATTATAAAACACATAACCTAAGTTTTTTAATAGTGAAAGATTTTTTAAAATCAGTCCAGTAATTTTTGAGTTATTTCAATACATAGAGAAATACAAATTTTATCTCTTTACGAGTATAACATTGGTATTGATTTAGCACTATTACATACGTCTTATTGTGACTGTTTTTAGAGAAAAACTATTTTATGTAAACTATACTCTAGTTTTGTGTTTAATTGATTTTTTTTTTGGTAGTCAAGCGTATTGTACAGTTTACAACATTTTAGAAGTCAATACGAAGCTTCATTACAAGCACCATAAGCCATAAGCAACTTAAAAGTCATAAAGCGAGTTCAAATCGTCCATAAATGTAAGTAGCGACATCTAGCGGCCCGCGACAACACGACACCTAAACTATTAACATGTCAATAACAATTTGGTGAATTGCATTTATGTTGTTATAAACGAGTTCCGCAGGGTAAGGGTTGAATGTAGGGTTGCCACATAAATGTTAATGTTGGGATAAAACCTTGTCATTGTTTAGTTTATTGTTATTTCAGTTTTATCATAATTTTATTAATTTTATCAAAACAAGTGTAATTTAATCCAATCAATTTATTTTAACTTTTATAATAAGACATGTACGCTTTATTAATAATACAATTATTAAGGAATTAGAATTAATTAACAATTAAACATTAAATTAGTAAATTTCTCCGCTACTGTGTAAAAAAATTTAAATATTACTTAAAACTTAGATCCTAGACCTAAAACCTAGAAACCTCAACACTTGAAGTAAAAAAAAATAGTCTTTGTGTTCGTCCAGACTACTAAATTTGTGGCAAATTTCATCATTCATTACTTTAAACCGTATGAGATACGTAAAAACAGACAACCATCCATCTAAACTTTCACATTTATTTAGTAAAATTACCGTAATATTTAATTATAAATTAAGTTTGGTGATAACCCTTAACATACGACTCCGATAGTAAACAGTTCTTAAGTCAAGGGTCGTCGTGTCCCGTGTCCCGGGGACAGGTCGGGTTCTGTCGGGACATCCGGCTGATAATTTTCAATTTGTCCGTAATATTCTAACCGTTACATTAGTTATTCATTAAACTCCAGATATGATCCGGGTTCAGTGATTAATATTTATGCATATTGTCCCTTTTGTCTTGTATTTTAAATTAATTTGCCGACCGTTTAGGGGTCAGACTTTACATCATACTTATTCGTATACTTCTTACTAATATTATATTATACTAAGTTTAAATTTGAATCTATGTGGTGTAATTTATTTTTATTTGAAAATGTTTCTTAAAATCATTACTTAGCCTTTCAAAAGAATGTATTATTATTATGTATTTCTTTATTTTTAATGTCTATCTTGGTTGTCACCCTACCTACGTCAATACTTATGTGTATAGGGGCCAGCTGAAAACTAGTGCAGTGAAAGGGCCTGCGTCGTCTCTTCATTAGCTGAGTTTGCCACCTTTTGCCAAATTTTTTTATTAGGTTGTTTTATATTACACTACATATGTAGATTGTTGAGAACGTTAGTTATGAGTGTGGAGGTACACCGGTAGAGGTAGACATACGAAGAGATGGATGGTTTGCGTGAAAGGTGACATGATCAAAAAGGACGTGATGACTGAAATGACGTATGATAGAGTTATTTGGAGGATGAAAACCTGTTGTGCCGTAAATATCATTTGTATTTTATTATTTTTATATTTAATTTTGGCATAGATGCATAGCCTGAAAAAACACAGAGGTTACTAAGTTTTTTTTTTAATTCTGCGCGGTTCGAATCGCGGGCTAAAGCGAATATTAATATGATTCTAAAGTTTATTAGATATATGTATTTATATGTTTATTATAACTAATTCTGCTCTTAATAGACGTTAGTGTACAAAGCGTATACAAACGTACACGTATGTAATCTTATAATTTGCATCATTTAGATCCCGGAGTTCGACAAATAGGCGCATTGCGTCAAAAAGTTGAGCAAACGCTTTCGTAATGAGTAAGCTTGTTTTATTGATTAGATACTTTATTACGCTTTTATATACGTTTGTTTGAATAACTTCAAACCGAAAATCGATAACAAATGCTTTTAGAGTTTTACTATGCTATGGAATGTGATGTGGAACAATGTTAAAGTTTCTTAATAGGTGAAATTTCCTACATTAAAAAATTAACGAATAAAACAAGAAGGACAAACCGTTCTCAATTTCTCTATGAACTTCTAAAGTCGTTTTCTCTCTCTTACGAAGAGTATATTGTAAAATCATACTACTATTATAAATGCGAAAGTATAGATGGATTTTTGTTAGAGTTTGTAGACTTAATGGCTGAACGGATTTGAATAAAATTTGGCATAGATGTAGAGGATAGTCTGGAAGAACACATAGGCTACTTACTTTTTTTTAGTTTTGTTTACACGGAGGGAGTCGCGTGCGAAAGCTAGTCTAACTAGTGTAGCAAATTGTTGGCAAACCAAGCATTAACCCTAATTGTATTTGTTATAATAAACACGAAATGAGAAGATAAACGTGAAATAACAACCTTTATAGCTGTATTAAAAAAAATAAAACTTAAAAATATAATTTATATTGTACAAAATTTCGTAAGCTGTCAACAATACACCGTACCATAAACATAAAGTTCTTAGCAACAATGTTCCCGTACATTTAATATCGAATCGTACGACAAAAATTCTTCTCAGAAACAAAATAACACCTTTGTTATTCGACAAGATACCTTCTTTAAGTTCTAATAAAGTGTCACATAAAGTAAAATGAGTAAGCGAGTCTGTAAGATGCCTCGATATCGAATCTCGCCGCTTCTAAGAAAGATATTCGATACATTGTCGCACGATTTCGAAAATAATTTACGATGTGACACATTCGTTTAACTCGTCTACAAGTCGTTTTGTTCGTAATCGATTTTATATAGCTTTATTCTTGTATAGTACCCGTTAATAACAGACTTGAGAACAAAATGTCACATTTTACAAAGTAAAGCAACGCGTAATTTCTCGTATGTAACAATATTTTAGAGTTCGGATTATATTTTCCTGTGTT